ATATGGTTTGTCCTACTAGTGAAAAAATCTAAGTATGTCATACCACTGAGATACATCTCCAACCCTTTTCATATTATATTTTGAGACACAGTCTTGCAAAGTTACCCAAGTGAAACTTAAAATTACAAATCTACAGCCTTGACCTCACAAGTGCTGGAATTACAGATGCACATTACTGTGCCTGGCTCACACTTGCCTGTTTAAAGGTTTAAGGTCGTATACTATTCGTCAATGTTTATATACTGTATACATTTTATTAGCTCACTTTCAGTGGACATTTCCTCAAAATAAAGACAAATAATTGCCCTTTTTGCACTCCCATACAAATTTAATATATCATTGGCTACTTAGTTTAATTGATAAACTTTCTGGTTGTACTATATAAATGATAGTTCTTTCATAGTGAAAAGAACTTTACTACATCACATACTCCTTCTTAGGATGAGGCATCTCTCCTTTCTGGTCTCTCTTCCAGTTAAGAACTTTGCTATACTATGTCACTATGATTGATAAACCTATGTCAACATGTTCAATAAATATAAAACCAAATGTTTTGAACAATGGGGCAGCCAGGCTTGATGGTACATGTCTGTGATCCCAGAACTCAAGAAGGACTACCATGAGTTCAAGGCCAGCCCAGGCTGCATAGTAAGACCTTGACTCAAAAACCAAAAAAACAAACAAACAAAAAAACCCCAAAAGAATGGGGCAATGTGGTTCCAATATAGATTGAGATAAAATAATTTTCATTATCTTTATGCACAAAAATATTCAAATATGCCTACCATAATCTGCTGGTGTATAATTCAGAAGTTCAAATTTCCAGTGCTTATAGCATGAATAATTCTGATACATGTCAAATATTTCTCGGGTAAACTGTTGGCAGATATCGCCTAAAAGACACATAAAGCATTCAGTTAGCACAAATATCTAAGGCAGCCATCTATGAGCACAAGTCTCTTAGGCAAGGATCATTTCCCAAGACACTTTTAAAGACAAACATACTTTTAAAGTTACAGACTGTAACCCTGTGCCACCATTTGAGAACTCAGGCAGACTCTGGGTGGCCCATGGGATTTTGGTGAGCTGCAACCTAGGAGTCCCCAGCACATAGGCACAGGGGTAGTGCTGGCCTCAAATCCAACCATCTGAGAACTTAGGAGGACTCCAGGAAGCTGCAGGATACTGGTAAATCTAGCCTGTGCCCACTACCTGCATAGAAGCTCTGTTAAGCTGCCAACCAGTCGTTCACACCAGTAGTAAGAGCCTTGATGAGTTCTACCCAATCCCTGCCCCACGGTAGCAGGAACCTTTCTGATCCATGCTGCACTGCTCTCCCACCACTGCTCAGCCAGGTGATCATTGGGAGCTTCAAAAATTCCAAAACCAGGCTGGGGAGATGGCGCAGTAGAAATAAGCGCTTCCCTGGCAAGTGCAAGGGCCTGAGTTCAATCCCTGGTTCTGAAAAAAAAAAAAAAAAAAAAAAAAAAAATCCAAAACCCAGGAGGAAAAGGTGAAAATCTCAATCCTCCAGCCCACCCAGAACAAGTCTAATAGACAAAGACATAGAAGAGATATCAAAGAGATAAATCAACTAGGCAAAAAGTCAGCAAAGATATCAAACAAACCAAACTTGTGAAGAAATGGACTTAATAGACCTTTGCGTAGTGTTTCATCCAGCAATGACAGAATATACATTCTATTCAGCTGCATACGGGATATTCTCCAAAATAGACCATATACTAGCACACAGAGCACTCTTAAGTAAATACAAAGGAATGGAAATTATCCCATGCACACTATCTAACCACAGTGCACAGAACCTGGTAATTATTGATAAAAGAAACCACAGAAACACCATAAACACATGGAAATTAAATAACAACCTCCTAAATAACCAGTTTAGGTCACAGATAAAATTAAAGAAATTGAAAAATATTTACATTCAAACCAAAATGTAGATACAATTTACCGAAACCTATGGGATACAATGAAATCTGTTTTAAGGTGAAAATTTATAGCATTAAATTCACACCTTAGGAAAACAAAACAAACCCAAAATAAACGTTCTTATCTTGTACCTCAAGCTCACAGAAAATGAAGAACAAAGTCCAAAGCCCAAAGAAGGCAGGAAATTAATGCAACAGAATCGAAGAAAGCAATACAAAGAATAAATGAACCAAAGAGTTCGTTCTTTGAAAGAATAAATACAATTGATAATCCCTTAGCCAACCCAATCAAAAAAAGGAAAGAAAAAACCCAAATTCATGCAATAAGAAATGAAAAGGGCAAAATCACTACAGACCCTATAGAAATTCAGAAGATCATCAATACCTACTTTCAAAATCTTTACTTTCACAGGATGGAAAGCATAGGAAAATGGACAGTTTCCTAGATACACATGAAATGCCAAAGCTGAGTCAAGAAGATATACAAACTCTGAATAACCCAATAACGGGAAATGAAATTGAAAATGTAACTTAAAACCTACCAACAAAGAAAAGCCAAGGTCCTGAGAAGTCACAGCTGAATTCTACAAGAAATATAGAGAAGATTTAATGCTAACTATTCTCAAACTCTTCAGTGAAATTGAAAGAGGAACAATTCTTCCAAATTCATTCCTGGTGCCAAGCATTATTTTGATACCAAAACCAGAGAAAGATCCAACTAAAAAAGAGAACTAAAATGAGAGAAAGAGAGAGAGATAGAGGGAAAGAAAGAGAGGCAGAAGGAGAGAGAGGGAGGGAGAGGGAGGGAGGGAGAGGGAGATGGAGGAAGGGAGGAGAGAGGTAGAGGGAAAGAGAGAGAGAGAGAGAGAGAGAGAGAGAGAGAGAGAGAGAGAGAGAGAGACCGAGACCGACAGACACAGCGACAGCACACTGCAAGCCAATCTCCCGAATGAACACAGATGCATAAATCCTCAATAAAATACTAGCAACAGGATTCATCCCAGGAATGCAGAGATGGTTCAATATATGCAGATGGATAAATTGAGCCAAAGACAAAAACCACATGATCATCAGAAAAAACTTTGACAAAGTCTTACACTGATTCATGATAAAAATCCTACAGAATATCAGAACAGATGGTCTATATCTTAGCTTGATAAAAGCCATCTATGAGAAACCAACAGCCAATATAATACTAAATGGGAAAAAACCTGAAAGTTCACTTGAAAATGAGAACAAGACAAGGATGTCTACTGTATCCACTCCTATGCAATATACTTCTAGAAATATTTGTCACAGCAATTAGGCAAGAGAGAGAAATAAAAGGAATAAGGATTGAGAAAGTAGTACAATTATCACTATTTGCAGATGACATGATTCTCTACATAAAAGACCCTAAAAACTTCACCACGAGACTTGTAGATTTAATCAGCAAATTCAGTAACATATCAGGATACTAAAAAATCATTAGAATTTTTGTACACAACAGTGAATACCCTGAAGAGAAATTAGGGAAACCATGCCTTTCACAACATCCAAAATATGATAATACTTAGGAATCTATCTCACGAAGAAACAAAAAAGATTCATACAGTGAAAATTACAGTACTCTGAGAAATAGACTGAAGAGGATTTCAGAAAATGGAAAGATAGTTCTTGCTCCTGGATAGGAAGAACCAATATTGTGAAAATGCCATACCCTCAAAATTGTTATACAGATTCAACACAATGCCATTTAATTTCAATACCATTAGTATACCTTGCAGAGCTAGAGTAAACATTCCTAAAATTCATCTGGAACCAGAAGAGACCCAGAATATTAAAAAAACATCCTGGGCAACAAAGGAAAGGTAAGAGGCATCAAAATCCCTGACCCAAAATTATGCTATAAAGCTATTGTGATAAAATCAACACGGTACTAGTATAAAGACAGACCCAAGGATCAATGGAACAAATTAGAAGATGCAGACACAGCTATAAACATGGAGCTACCTTATCTTTGACAAGGGAATCAAACATGTTCACTGCCTCTTTAATAAATGGTGCTGGAAAAAATGGCTTTCCACATGCTTAAGGCTAAACTTTGACCCATGTCTATCACCATGCACCAAACTACAGTCAAAATGGATCAAAGATTTAAACATTAAAACAGAAACATAAATCTTCTGGGGATGCAAGTAGGTAGAATTCTTAAAGACACAGGGGTAGGTAGAGACATCATGAACAAAAACTAAATTCCATGGGAAATAGTTCAAAGAATCAACAATTGGGTTCTCATCTTTCTGAAAAGTTTCTGCACTTCAAAAGAAATTACCAATAAAGTAAAAAGAAAACCAACAAACTGGGCAAAAATTATAGCCAACCACCCTTCTGACAAAGGCCTTCTATCTAGCCATATAACGAATTTAAAGAAAATCAGGCTCTCAAAATTCAAAGACCCAATCCAAAAATGGACATTACAAATGGCAATATATGAAAAAATGGTCAACATCATTGGTCATTAGAGAACTGCAAAGTAAAACAACATTGAGGTTCCATCTCACCCCAGAAAGAATGGCTATCATCAAGAAGTCAACAAATGCTGGAGGGGCTGTGGGGAAAAAGGAACACTTCTCCACTGCTGGTGGGAGTTCAGACTGGTACAACCAATATGGAAATCAGTGTGGAGATTCCTCACAAAGCTAGGATTGAAGGTCCCATTTAACCTAGCTATTCCCTTAGTGGATATTTTTCCAGAAATTATTCACCTAGTGGATATTTTTTCTATTTTATAGCTGAATAATACTTAATTGTATAAAAACACCACATCTTCTTTATACATTCCTCAGCTGATGGGCATTTGGGATGTTTTTAAAATTTAGTTATCATAAATTGTGCTGTTATGAATATGTCATTAGCTATGACAACTGTACTGTGGATTTCTGTGGGTCTATGGAAAGGAATCTTTAATCCTTAATTTGTTGTCTTCTTTTTTCAATTCTTTTTACTTTTTCTCCTCTTACTTTCTTTTATTCTTTTCTTTCTTCTTCCAATTTGTATGCATATATCTGATAATATGAAAAACTAATTTGAAGACAACAGTACACAATACAACAATACTGTGAAATGCATATTATTTTGTTTAGTGAAACTGTCTATCATTTGTAACTTTTGTTTTAATACTACTTTGTACTGTCTTTAAAAAACATAAATAAATAAGTGAATAAATAAAGTTACAGTAGCTGGGTGTGGATTACATGCTTGTAATCCCTCCACTCAAAGAGGCTGAGGCAGGAGGATTGCCATGAGTTTGAGGTCAGCCTGAATTACACAGCAAGACCCTATCTTAAAAAAAAAAATAGTTACAGTATACCAAATTAAGTAAAATGTGAGTAAATTTTAAATGTGACAATAAAACTACTTGACCCACCTCCAGTAGTTCTTCCGGATGTCACCTCTAAAATAACATCATTTTTGTCATATTTTTCCTTTGGCAACAAACTCTCATAAAGCTAGAAAAGAGGAGAAGAAAACAGCTTTGGTGCATAGATTTTCCTTGGTAAACCATCATTACTTTAACTTAATTAAAAGTTCTGAATGATTTATAGATTTTCTTTGGTATGTTATTGTTAATGAAACTTAGAAAAGCCCTGAAAGTATTTTTTAAAAATCAGTAATAAACAAAATCACATAGTGAAGTTACTCCTAAATCTACAATAAGAAGTAAAAACCAATAAGATTAAAATAGCTTATCAGTTTCTGAAGTTATTTATCTATCTTCTACAATGCTTAAAGTTATTTTAATTTCCTAAAATGCAATTTAGATCAAAATTCAGTGTCCTATTCAATTTTCTTCATATTTTGCTACTTACAGTTTTTTCATCTAATGAGTGAAGCAAAGCTTTCAAATTTTCATTTTAAAGAAATGAACACCTTTAACATATAATGGTGTATTTTTCTCTGCAACAATTCATGGGAGGTGACATGCTATGCTTTGCCTTTTTAGTGGGGTTACTCTATTTAAAGATTATGTTGGGGGCTGGTGAGATGGCTCAGTGGTCTAAAGCACCTACTTAAAACAAGCTAAGCAAAGCACAGGGACCGCGGTTCAATCCCCAGCACCACATGCTAGCCAGCCCTACCCCTTGGTGGGCTGAGCTGGCCACACACACACACACACACACACACACATAAATATTAAAAATAAATAAAGAAAAATAATTAAAAAAAATAAAAATAAAGATTATGTTGAAGACTCCTAAGCAAAGGCTCAAATAGTTTCTCAGGCAAAAGGGATTCCTTATAAAGAATGGAATTAAAATTCCCCTTAAAAAAGGAAGCAATTCCTTTATTATTAAAAGGTCTTTCAGGGATGGGGAGATAGCTCAGTAGAATAAGCTCTTTCTTGGGCCTGAGTTCAATCCCCGGTTCCGCCAAAATAAATAAATAGTCTTTCAAACAAACTTTTCAAAGAAGGTTTCAAAAAACTTTTTGTTTTTCAAATAAAAAGTACTTATGTGTCATTACTCTCCCTACTGCCAGATTCTGAAATACTCTATCTCTATTAAAAATAATACAGTCTGTGGAACAGAATATTAGATTAAGAGTCAGACATCTTTTATCTCTGATTAACCTTTGATACTGATAACCTATACTTAACCCCTCCTGACCTCAAAAAGCTCCCTTCCTGGATTCCAATGGTAAGGAAGCTGAAGGTAAGATGATGGCAAATACACCAAAAGGAAACATGGAACACAGTACCATGTTCCTCACTGCCTTTGTAGCCAAACTATCCAATAAACTAGAAGGAAGAGATCACTATTGAAGGAAAAAGTCTGCTTGTGTGGGAAATAACAGTTGGTACTAACAGAGTATCATGGACCTTGAGAAACCCCAGAACACCAAAGGCTTGCTAGACCTAATTAAGGACTTGAATTAACTGTCTCTACATCCCTCGGTTCATTCCATTCTATCCATAGTGCACATTTTCAATCCTTAGTTAACAATCACCATGAACCTATCCTGTACCCTTATACCACTGAAAAACTTCCAACTCTTCCCTGTGGCAACTACAGTTTTTCCCCAACATGTGTCTTCTTGCCTGGAAAGGGAAAAGATTCAGCTTAGAAATTTTATTTCCCTTTTTTTTTCTTTTTGCTCTTGGAGTCTCTGCACCATCATGGTCATAATCATCACCATCATCATCATTATTGTGGTACCACAGATGGAACTAAGGAGTTGCACTTGCCAGCAAGTGCTTACACTGCTGAGCTATCTCCCCATTGAGTCTTTGCTTTATTTATCCACTGCAAGATTTTCAACATCACTCTGCAGCAAATTACTACACAAAGCCCAACTAATTACTTATTATGTTATTTCCCAAACACTTCACAAACCAGTGTTTGGGAAATAACTTGAGCAGCAAAGTATAGTCTAGCAGGAAAAGTATTCCTTCATATTAGCAGTACTGAGATTAGTCTACTTCCTAGAACATACCTCCCCATAGAGTGTGTTGATTTTTTGATCAATGGTGTCCCTTTCTTCTAATGCAAGCTCCTGTAACTGCTTTTCCTCTTGTTCATTTAGACCTAAAAACCAGCAACAGGAATAATGGCAGTTTTTAATTATTTATATAGAGAGAAAGTCTTAAAATAGCTACCTCATCTTTACCCAGTAAGTTTTATTTTAGTTTGGAAACCAAGGGATAATATAAAAGAACAATTATAATACTTGGAGACTGTCACTTCACAAGCCCTCCCAAAAGACTTACTTGAATGTCTGTAAGTAATTCTAGAAAGTGATTGATCATATAAGTTTTTTAAAAAGAACTGGCTATAAACCCAAATAACCTAAGTTTTAAAGCAAGTTGGGATGATCACTTCCTGTCTGAAGAGATTCACAATTCAGTACTCTATCATGTGGATCCAATATCATTAGAACCTCTATTTGCTCAAAAATATTCACTCTTGGAATCTTTTTTTTTTTTTTTTTTTTTTTAATGTATTTGATACAGGGTCTGCAGGGTCTCACTATGTAGAATGGACTCATAGTGATCCTTCTGTTTACAGCCTCAAAAGTGCTGGGATTACAGGTGTATGCCACCACATCTAGTCTTTTTTTTTTTTTCTTTTTCTTTATTACTATGCTGAATACAGTCTGTAGCATGCAGTACCTATTCAAATAAAGTTTGTTTAATTGGTTGGCTTTAGGCTTGATTATTTAGCTGAGCTCTTTGCAGTCTAAGACTAATTTGGAATGCTTTCAGGCTTATACTTGCCAATACAATTTCCTTGCCTCATCTGAATCTCCTTAAAAGATGATTAATTGATAAAAATCAACACGTTAGTTAACAAGAAATTGATAGCAGAATTAGTAACAGTCCCATAGACCACAGCTTTTCCTCCCGTGGTTTCTACTCAGCTTCTCCCAAGATCTACACTGGGTATAAATGGCTCTGTGGGCTGCATACATCAGGGTGACTGGTGCTTATGGCCTTCCCCTGCCTGCAGCCTGACTAGGCACAAATGCTGAGTCCTTATGAGGGCAGGAATTGGATAGAGCAAATAGTGAGGCAGAAATTGCAGTATACATTTACATTCTTACAAAACATTAAAAAGCTTTAAAGTGCAGTAGAAAATTGCACCACTGAAACATGAGGAACATTGAGAACTGTGCCCCTGCTGCGTTCAGTCTCCCATATATCACTGCTGCTTCTCTCAGGCCCCTCCAGCTCCCCGTCGCCCCAACACGCCCGTGCCTTTGTGATTCCTGTGAAAATGCTAAAGCAGTAAGGGATGGTGAGGCAGTTCAGTTCCACAAAGCTTGGCCTCTGTGCTCGTAGCCTGTGTGCATTTCCTCTCACTTCATTATTCAGATTAAAGAAATATTTCACAATTTTTTTTCAGGCAAATCACATGCAACTCCCACATAGACCCATCATTATAATCCTATGACTTTGTTCAAAGAAAGACTTTCCAAACTGTGCCTATTATCACTCCTCTGAGGGCTGCTCTCAGGAGCTCTCCTGACAACTTTCTCCCTCCTTCGCCTCATCTTGAAGTGATTGTAGGGCATCTGTGTTGGGAGCATTCTCAACCACACCACACCTAGTCTTAATCACAGTCTCAGTGCACCCTGGGGGTGGGGCTGGCAATGCATACCAGCAGAAGCTTTAGTCCACTGAGCTATCTGGCCAGCCCAGAATCTCTTGATATATTCATATCTAGCACAGTTTTAAAAACACTGGATCAAATAAATTACACTTTTGTAACCTGTACTTCATGGAAACAATGTTCTTTTTTTCTTTTTTCTTTCTTTTCTTTTTAGATAGGGTCTTGCTGTGTAGTTATGGCCAACCTTAAGCATGCGTCTGAGGCTGGCCTCAAACTTGCAGTGATCCTCCTGTCTCATCCTCCTAAGTGCTGGTACTGTAGGTGTCTGCTATCATGCCTGGCTCATATCTTTTCAAAAACAAAATTAAATCATGGAACTCTAGCAAAATAAGATAATGAGGGGGCCGGGGATATGGCTCAGTAGAATAAGTGCTTGCCTGGTAAGCACAGGGCCTGAGTTCAATCCCCAGTTCCACCAAAAAAAAAAAAAAAAAAAAAATGATACAGTGGCCAAGTATGGTGATCACTGACTCTACTGCACTAAACAACTATCACATGTCAGTGATAACTACTGAAAATTGAAACAGAATTTTTTTATTCTTAGTAATTATAAGGAAGAGAACAGAAATGAAGAATAAAACAGTTACAAAGGAAAGAAGGTGCTTTATAAACTTTCTGTACTCAGAGAAGTCATCAGTCTGGTAGGGTTTTGTGCCTTACTCATGCTTTTAATATAGCATTTAATACTTGCTCTGTGCTAGACACTCTCCTAGTTGCCAAGGACACAATGACTAATGGAATGTGGTTCCAAGCCTCATGTGGCTCAGTCGAGGAAAGATGGGCACATACACATAATTACAATATATGATAAGGGAAGCACCAGTATGTCAGGGGGCACCAATGTGGGGGCCTAACCCAGAGTTTAGAACTTTAGGTCTGGCTCCTGGCTAAGGTACTGCAAGAGATACAAAACTGAGTAAGACTCAGGTATTTGAGGAACAGACAGTGAAGTTAGAGGCAAAGGCTACCACAATTACTGAAAGAATTACAACACAAAACACAGAAAAGTAACTATACTTGTTTTAAGAAAGAGATTGAAGGGCCAGGCAAATAGCTCAGCAGATTAAAGTACCTACAAGCAGGTGCTGGGACTGGGGTTTGATCCTGGGGGCCCCGCCCCTGGGGCACAGCTGAGACAGCAATTAAGACTGGGCGTGGTGGCATGTGCCTGTAATCCCAGCTCTTGGGAGGCTATAAACAGGCGGATCACAATGAATCCAATCTAGTAGTGAGACCCTGAACACCCTGTAGACCCTTCCCTAAAAATACAAAAAAAAGAGAAAGATCTAAGTCAAAGTATGATTTATAAGCTAAATTTTGTAAGAGTACTGATTTTTTTTTTTTTTTTTTGTGGAACCGGGGATTGAACTCAGGCCCCTGTGTTTGCCAGGGAAGCGCTTATTCCACTGAGCCATCTCCCCAGCCCCAAGAGTACTGATTTTTAATAAGGTGAAATGGATGAACAAAGACTCAGACGGTAAAGAGTAGGTATGTTCTGGGAAGGGTAAACTATCTATTTTGACTAGAAGACAGAAGATGCAAAGAGAATATACTATACAAACAAGTTAGTCACTCACCAGAAGTTTTAAGTGACAAATACAAAAATCGCTATGAACAAAGGGAACTACCAAATTTTTTAGGTGAGTAATAAGATTAAGACTGCACCTGGGGCTGGGGAGATAGCTCAGTGACACAAGCACCTGTTAAGTGTAAGGTTCTGAGTTTGATCTCCCGTACCAAAAAGAAAGATTGTACCTGGCCTAAGCCAGTCATGGTGGTACATAGTGTGACTTTAAGGTCAGCCTGAACTGCTTATTTAGATTGTCTCAATAAAACAGAACAGAACAAAACAACTGGTGTAGAAATACTGGAGGTGAGACTAAAAGTTAGAAATTGATTTTACTCATCTAGGTTAAAATACAATGAAGATACAAATTAGTGGGGTGCCTCTCTCTCGAGGCAAATTTGAGTATTTTCAATTCTGCTTAATAAACTGTAATGCTTCTCACATGTTTTAAAAATTCACCCAATGCTGCGTTGGCCCTGCCCCTAGGGTGCACTGAGCCTGGGACGAAGTCTAGGCGTGGCACATGCCTATAATCCCAGCGCTGGGGAGACTTAAGGATCACTGAGTCTGAGGTGTGTAGTGAGACCCTGTACCAAATACAAAAAAATGAAAAAAAGAAAATTCTTTTTCTGTGTTAGAAGTCAGTGAACCTGTAACCTGCCAAAAGGTGATATAAGTCCAGGTTTCCCCTCTCCACTTTGAGGAACCCCTTCAGACTCTATATGGTGACATTCCCTTTCACTAGCTAGCTCTGGGAGGTAAAGAGGCATCAAGACTATGACAAAAAATGACATAATTTAAAATCGAGGTGCTGAGGAGATAGCTTGGGGCCTAAGCACCTGCCTGCTAAGTACAGGGCCCTGGGTTTGATCTCTGGGACCACATGCCATGTTGACCATGTGCCACACAGGCCACCAAGACCAGATGTGGTACCGCACGCCTATAGTCCCAGCTCTGGAAAGGCTGAGCCAGGTGGATCACTACGAGTCTGAGCTACGTAGCAAGATCCTATACCAAATAAATAAATAAATAAATAACAATTTTTAATTCATACTTCTAAGGCTACAACTTTAAAGCACAACACTACCCAAGGTACCCAATATCTGTACTCCATGTTCTTGTTTATTGTTCTTTTTGTCCATGCCCAACATAACTAAAAGTCCCTTTTTTATTTTTGGTACCAGGAATCAAACTCAGGACCCTGCTCTTGCCAGGCAGGTGCTTGTGCTGATGAGCTATATCCCTGGGACAACTAAAATTCCTTAAAGAACTTTTAAGTCCCAAATTAGCTGATAAGGTAAAGGGCAGAAACCTGACCTTAGAGAAACAGATTTAAAGGTTACAAAGAATGTTTTTAGGCCAACATCTGAGATCATCTATCCTAAATAAATAAAACAAACAAAAACCAGGCTGCTTTTCCCTTCTAAACTAAGATGAAATTTCCTACAAATTCACAAATTCCACAGATTTCCACACTCCCTCCTCCAAAAAAATCAAATTTCCGGCTTTGAGTGTGTGTTTTCAATTTTGCCTAATACAACTCTGTATGGCTCTCAAAAAAAAAAAAACAAAAAAAACAAAAAAAAAACACAGATAGACTAGAAGGGGACTCATACTCATGCAAGACAAACTATGGAGATAGACCTACTGCACTTGACTCATCACGCAGTGGGTAAGAGCAGAGACTTTGGATTCTCATTGCCTGGCTTCAAATCCTTGCTCCTCCTAGATAGATGGCTCAGCAACCTTTGATAATTTAATCTCTTAGTTTCATCTATAAAATGAGGATAAAGGTAACAATTCCTACTTCAGAGATTATTATGAACATTCAAAAGATAATATTTGTAAAGTATTTAGCTTAAAGTCTGGCATGTAGTAAAACTTAATAAATATAGCTATTACCATAATTAGAAAAACAGAATTGTGAAGCTAATGAAACCTTTTGAAATGACCTAATCCAACCTATTAATATTACGTATGGTACAACCATGCCTGAAAGAGATCATGTCATCTTAATTAGAAATCACTTATTATCCTCCTACATATGTGCAACTTTCTCAAAACTAAAATTTTAAGTGGCATTATGCAATAGTAAAAAATATTTTCAATAAGCCAACAGGAGAAATTTGTACCACTGAAAAAGAACAGGAACAAGTAAGGTTTTGGACATCTAAGATTTTACAGGTATACTAGTGAGCCAGCCTTGACATCACTCATACTTCTAAGGTTTAATGAAACAGGGTGGAACATAAAGTATAGAAGCTAAAAGTCAACAGCAAAATCTGTGTCAGTGTTCAATCCTACCTTAGTCTATAATATTTCTCTTAATTTCTGTATATTTTGAAGATCTTTTCAAGAGAAAAAATGTTGAAGCAATACTAAATTAAGAAACAACTAAAATTAAAAATTACAATAAAACTAGCTAAACGGATGCACCTTGAGACCATAAAGTGAAATAAATCACATATATGTGTAAATGCATTTGTTCCTGTGATGTGAGAAACCCAAAGGGTCAATAAGGGCCAAAATGTATAACAGATATTGTGAAATAGGAAGAAAATGTTCAAATGGGGAGGGGAATTAGTGGGGAAGAGTGGGGAAGGAAGGAAAGGAAAGGAAAAAAAAAATAAGAAGGAAAAAGTAGAAACAAAAGTTTTGTAAATAAGGAGGGAAAGGGGTTGAAAGGAGGATAAGAGAATAGGAAAAAAATAGTTATATCATGAACAGGCACAAACTCCCTATAATGAATTCACATTCAAGTATACCTAAAATGTACCAATAAACTTAATTAAAAATTACAATAAAGTTACCTCATAAAAATGAATACATTGCATACAAAGTCTTCAATGTGAAGACTAAGAATACAAAACACTTGTAAGAAAAGTAAGTGTAAACCTTTGTTGACTTTGTATGGCAGTATTTTCTTTCATATGACCCACCAAAGCTCAGAAATCTGTGGATCTCAGACATCCTTAGCAGGGCACTGAAGAACTATCACAATATATTAGATTGTGTGACACTCTATGCTATAAACTAAATGCTGAAAATGTAGCTGAGCTCACACTCTTCCCTCTATCTGGGATGCCCTTTCTTGTTTTACTAATACAAAAAATTATTCTTCAAAGTCTATTCCAACCATCTCTGACTCCCTTCATGGAGCCACTTTGAGTGCTTGGTTTATGTTGTATATCCAGTACCTGTTACACTGCCTTTCACTTCCATGTGGTATGTATCCCAAATTAGATGGTAAGCTCAAGGCTTACTCATTTCTTTTCACGTTGTTTTCTGTACAACATCTGTATATAGTAAATCCTCTGTGAATGTTGGATGAATAAATAACTAAATTAATGACTGAACTAATTATACCACATCTTTAGAGTAAGTCACTTCAATTAAGACATCTGATATGTAAAAACTATTTTAGACACTTCCATTTTGAAATCCTAGGCTGGTCATATATATACATATAAATATCAATAGAGATATTTTGGTTTTGGCATGATACTAAGGATTGTGCCCAGGGGCACTCTACTACTTAGCCATATCCTAGCCCTTTTCATTTTTCACTTTGAAAGAGGGTCTTGCTAAGTTGCTTCGGCAAGATTCAAACTTGTGATTCTCCTGTCTTAGCATTCCTTAGGGCTGGGGTTCTAGGTGCCTACCATTTGCATGTCTCCTTTTTTTTTGTACTGGGAATTGAACTCAGGACCTTGTACTTGCCAGGCAGGTACTATGCAGTTGAGATATATCTCCACAGATGTCTACCACTGACTATCTGACCAGATATTCATATTTTGGGAGATTATAGATCTGAAAATTATTGAATACCTCTTTGGTACTATGTAAACGTCTAAAGAATGGGACCCTTGTTTGAGTAAAGATTCTTTGTTCAAAGTAACAGTACAGACACTTAGGCTTTCATCATAGTAACTAAAATAATTCAACAGGTTCTAAGAAATCTGTCAGCTGTTCTAGAAAATTCTTCAAGCCACTAAACGTACAAATTTTAAGGGCTAGGCATTTATCTCAGGGGTAGAATACATGGCATGTAAAAGGCCCTCAATTCAATCTCCAGTATTGAAAATAAAAAAAGTTTACAAGAATATAAATTCCAAATAATATAAAACTACAATTAAAATAAGTTATTAAAGAGTAACTTTTAAGGGGTTGGGGAGATAGCTCAGTAGACTAAGCGCTTGTTTGGCAAGCGCAAGAGCCTGAGTTCAATCCCCAGTTCTTCAAAAAAAAAAAGAATAAGATCTTTAAGATCTAGCACCTAAACTTCTACCACATGGCGCTATCTGCTATGAAGCTGTCACCACAGCCAAAACTGTGAGATACATAAACCTCTTTTCTTAACAAAAGGTGATATAAATATGAAGCTATATAAATCTTTATTTGTGCTTCCTCTAATGTGCAATTTCACCTAGGAGGCTTCCACTTGCTCCCTTAAAATTCTGTGCCTTCCTATCATATTGCATGCAAGCATGTCAAGTAATACTTAAATATACTCTTTGCTATAAGCTTTTTGATAGGATAGGAACTGTATTTCCATATTCCTGGTATGCAGCACAGTGCTTAGTATAGATCTGCTCAATAAATTAAAACTTCTGATAAGATCAACATCAAATCCTCTAAAGTCATGAACATTTTTGCAAGTGCCATGAGGAGCCTAGTTTTGCATTGATCTTTATTAGTTGAAATATGCTAAACACCCTAAGTATAATAGCCCAGTTCTTGTTAAGTATTGAGGTTATTACTTATAAGGTTTTTAAAAGACAAGATTCAATAAAGTTTTAACTTAGAAAGTCACAATCTTTTACCTACTTTTGCACATTGATTCTAATTCTTCAACTGCTTGTTCAGCTTTCTGAATTTCTTGATAAATGGCTGCAAGTGGCGCCAACTCAGCATGCCTTTGGGTCATATCCCTTCGGTCTGCTTCATCCACAGGGATCTCCTGCAGAGACTGACCAAGTGTTTGGTACTCTTTAGTTAGGTCTTCCATATATTTCTGAAATGTTTTATGCTTCCAGATCATCCTGGTATCTCGATGACAGTATTTCCTGGACCAATTACTTAAAATATAGTGGAGAATGTAATTATCATTTTGTCCAAGAACACACAGCCTTGTTTTAAGATGTAGCTGTTTAAATTGATAAGAATGGACATAGCTGTGACACCAGGGATGAACATTCAGGGATGGATGTCTAAAAAGCCAAACATATAGGTGACGATTCATCTCAACATCTGAAATAAAACAAACACAATTTGAAGAAAAAAATTGATTTTGAAGATATATATTGCATAATAAAGCTAGAAGGAGTTTCAAATAAAACTTTAGTTCACTACATTAGCTCCAAACAGTCCTAAAATTCAATAATCCACAGAATTCAAACCTCTGAATAATGTATTAAAATAGCATGTAAAGCACATAATTAAGAGCAAAAGAAAAGAGTAATTTAAAAATGTATCAATGGAATGGACTAAATCAGCTATTTTTTGGAAAGTATCCAGAATCTAGAACTAAGTGTATAAATATTTGAAAGGCATAATTAATTGTGCAGACTTTAGTTGGTTCACGGTTACAAATTTCTAAAGCTTGAAGGAATATTGGTTATCAGCTTCTTCAATTCTTTTAGTTTAGGTATCTAGCTGTTTAATGAAATCATGTAACTTAAGACTATTCATCACTGTAGAGAGGAAAAAGCTGGAATTAGAATGCAGGTTGCCTATCCTAAGATTGGTGCTTTTCATTCTCAACTGTGCAAAAAATTCTTTCAAATATTCTTCCCTTTTGTCTGAGATCCTAAAAGAAGAAAACTACTAACAGAAAGAAGTAGGTCTGGTGAAAAAAAGACAATCACAGTTGTACAGTATTAAATGTAGAAAAATACAAAATAAATTTTCAATTATTTTTCCAAAAATTGTACAACATATGGAAAGTATATACAGTATTTTTCAAAAGAACATTAAAAAATGAACATGCTGCTGAGCTGTAAAAGGCTCAAGTCAACAACTTCTGACAATTACCAGCTCTGCTGATAACCCACTACCATTATGGACTACTGGAGTATACTGGGTTATTTTGCTGAATTCAAGTACCTATTGAACTGGCATCAAGTATGAAAAGGTCTTTTAAAGACTTTCAAATACAGCTTCTCTAACAGCAATGGAACTCCCATCTCTGATAAAAAACAAAAAAGGGGGATAAAAATGAAGGACTATTTTGTAGTGAAAAAAATACATATGTATGTACAAAGTAGGATAGATATACAGCTACTTTCTCTTAGTTCAATGAGAAGAAAGGTTTGTACTAATATTGTTTGGACAAGATATGTCTGCATCTTGTACTCTAAATAACTACTATGAAGACAACATTATGCAATATATTAATTATTTTAACTGTCCAACTAACCTGTTTTGAAACTGTTTCATTGCTATTTTTTATTAAGATAAATAAAAATAAAAAACATGAACATGCCAAATATTAACGAAATGATCTCTATTTGTGGGATTATTTTGCTTGCTTTATATTTTTTCTGCTTGTCCAAGATGTTTAATCAAATAAAGCATACTACTTTCATAATTTTTTTTTATTTACACCAACGGTGAGTAGACAGCTTTCCAGTCTTGCTAACATAGTAGCATTCTCTCTTTTTTTTTTTTTAAGTTTTATTGATAAACAGATAGCAATGAGACAGTTTCAAATCCAATCATAAGTACAGTTTCAACAAATAATACACTGCATATATTCTTCTTAGTGGTTAATTGCTGTACAAGAAGTGGACTTGTGCTTTCATAATTTTTTGTAAAGTTACTTTAAAAATTACAGATTAATTGAAATTGGCTGTGTATAATAGCTATCTGTTCTCCTCCCCTCAAATAGAGATCATCAAAAGCTAAGTACGCAATGGCTTTATTGAATCAGAAAGGGAAAATTTCTAACTAGTTGGCTTCTAAAATTGTGAGATTCAAAGTTGAAATAATCAGCCGTTACTATCTCCAGCTAGGAGGTGCGTTTCATATTAGCTTTCATTTGATCTAAACCTGCTAATTTAGCAGTATTGCTTAGGAACTAAAATATATATTGGAAAGGTCTCCTAAATATTCAACGTTTGCAGGCTTGCACCGATCGATTTAACGTACTGTATCATATTTGGAAACGGACTGTAGAAGAATGCACCACGGGGCCCAGGAGACGGCTCTGCAGAATAAGCGCTTCCCTGGCAAGCGCTAGGGCTTGAGTTCAACCCCCGGTTCCGGAAAAAAAAAAGTACCAAAATCCAGCAGCTATGTTCATCTTTAATCTCAAGCACACCAAAGGTGTATCCACTTCATAGTGAACACAATAAAAGATTGTCAGATTTTTGTTACAATATTTCTAGCTAAAAATTTCCATCTTAAGAACAGCAGAATAATGCTCAAGGTCATAAGGGTTAATTTTAAGGGAAAAACCCAAGACGTTTACTTTCTAGGGTTATCTACATCTACGAAGCGCAAGACTTCTCTAGTTCTCAAGATAGCTGCGCTATCTTAAGAGCAATTCTCAGGGATTGCAAGTCAGAAGCGACAGTTAAGTCTAAGTGCAGCTCGTGCATTACATCACACTAAATCATAGACGCACACAAAGACGGTAAATGGGAAAGTAAAGCTCTTTTAAGATCTACGAAAGAACTGTGAATACCTAAGAAAAAGAAAAAGCGACGTTAGCTTTCCTTACTGAAGTCGGAACTTTCTTCTGCACGCTACATTTCAGCCCCGCCCAGCCGCGGCCACTTCCACTTCCGGGGTCACGCCCTCCAGTTCAATGCGCGTGCGCCGGCTCCGCCCCCACACCCTCCCCAGTGTTTGGTCTTGCGCATTTGCACCGTCGAGCTAGGATGAAAAGAATGAAAACGCGAGGGAGAAATGCTCTTGAAGCGAGTTTTTTTCATCAGGAGCGGGAGCCAACAACTTGTGTTTCAATGATGGGAGGAACTGAGGGACAGAATGGAAAGAAGCTCTTCTCCTAATAGCTTTCCAAGGAATTATGGGAGTTGTCGCTTATCCTACAGTGAGGTCTTCACTGCCCCCTCTACCTACAGGTACAGTACTTACGAATCCAGAAGAGATTCTCTCTTCTCATGAAGAGATCGAGATTACAGATGAAGTTACAAGAAAGTGCCATGTATTAGGATCCCCGAAGGCAGTAGTTTATGGGTTCTTTTTTGTTTTTGTTTTTTTAGTAATGAGGGCTTTAATTGCAGTATTTTTTGGGTGCTATGGCTTGAGCAAATACCCAAATGATTGGCGGAAACTATCAATTTATATTTTAAGAGTCATATCTCAAGTTAGAAAATATTAGAGTTTATGTTACACGCACATATGGAATGTGGGCTCCCAACAACCAAAGTTTATAAACCACCAGTTAAATAAAAAACAGTTCACGGAAAATAAAGCATTGCCTTACATTAAATATTCAGTGGGGTGTAGCCCACGCCTTGAGACATCCCACTATGTAAAAACTGGTAATGTGAGGCTCAAATATATTGTAGAAAAAATAAAGCACATTGTTACCCAGTAATTTAATACAATTCAAATTCTCTCTAAAGAGGAAAAGGACTGGAAAAGCACAGATTATTCTGTTATATTCTTATAAACCTTTTTTTTTCTAAAAGAAACACTATGAAGGATGAGATGACAGCATCTCATGTATGCATACTGCTTTTTTTTTTCTGTTTTATTGAGACAGGATCTCACTTTGCAGTTCAGGCTGGCCTTGAGCTCACTTCATAGCTCATGTTGGTCTCAAACTTGCTATGATCTTCCTGGCTCAGCCTCTAAGGTGCTGGGATTACAGGCATACGCCACCATGCCCAGCTCAAATATTTTTTATATTGAAAAAAAAAAAAAAAAAAAAAAAAAGCTAAGAAATACGCCACCTGGTGGCCTTATTGAAACTAGATCATGCGCAATTTTCAGGATCCAGGACAATTAGGGGAGCCTTGAAAAGTCAAACTGTCCATTCACTCTTTAAGAAACAAAAACAGGCGAAAGACCAACTGATGGGCAGGGGAGATGGCTCAGTGGAAAAAGCGCTTCCCTGGCAAACTCAACGGTCTGAGTTGAGTCCCTGGTTCTGCCAAAGGAAAAAAAAAAAGAAAGGCCAACTGATCCTGAAAGCTAACCCTTTCCCCTTAAACTAGCATAAGCCTAGCTTAAGGTCAGATTTTAACAAGATCATTTAATGTTTTTTCTCCTGTAATTTTATTTCTACCTGTCACTCAGTACCATGCCACATATTTTTCTTAGATCATTTCCTTAAGATTTGAATTGTATATGTTCAAATTTTCATTTCACTAAGTTCAAGTTTGAACCAGGGATTGAACTCAGGCCCTTGTGCTTGCCAGACAAGCACTTATTCTACTGAGACATCTCCCCAGTCCCTGAAATGTTCTTTCTAAGCACTAAAACATTTCACAATTTAAGTCCAGAGTCGTTTACATTAAAAAAAAAAAAGTGGTTTACATTGAGAAAAATGTCTTTTTTTCTTTATAATGAAAAATGTCCAACATATTAAATAGATACATGAGCCATATGCCCACGAACCAGTCTTATCAGTTGTCAACTGTTTCACCTACCTTCCTCATTTTCCTTTTCCCTATCTCAACTGATGTATTTTGAAATACAGAGCATCATAGCTTTTTATCTGTATTTTAGTATGTATCTTCAAAAGATAGAGTTTAAATATTAACACCCCCAAAGGTTGAGTTTCTTAATGTTTTCCAAGAGTCACTCAGTATTCTAACTTTTCTAATTGTGTTTTCTTGTTTTGTCATCCCCCCACCTTCCCTTCCTGTCTGTATTCCATTCCCTTCTCTTTCCTTTCTGCCCTCATTCCTTCTGTCCTAGCAGTTACATCAGATTTCAAGAAGATGCATACATCACAATTTGTTATATTTTTTGTTTCTTTTAATCTATAGGCCTTTCTACCTTGTATATGTTGAAGGAATTGGATCTTTACCCTGAGCAGTTTCACCCAGTCAAAATTTTTCTAGATTTATGATATGTTTATCATGTGTTCTTTGTTCCCAGTATTTCCTATGAACTTGTCTAGAAGCGTAATCAGATTCAGATTTAATGGGTTGTTTTGGGGTTTTTTGCAAAACAACTCCATAAGTGGATTGGATACTTTAGGTACAAAATATCTAGTTAAGTCTATTATTGACCTACTTATTTTTTAAAATGGGATCTTGCTATGTAACAGAGGCTGGACTCAAACTGACACACCTACTTTGGTCTCCTGAATGCTGGGTTTAAATGTATGTGCCATCAAGCCTGACTTCATTGTGTCTTTTGGTGATGTTTTTATCTATAAACGAAATTGTCCTCAACAAATGTTAGCCTTGGCTTTGCAATTTTCAAGAAGAAAAATAAAAACTTTGTCAAAGTAGAAATGCAATTAAATTGATATCTTGTTGTAGTGTATTTATAACTGGTGGTCAACTTATTCTACCCAGCTGAGTTAAACTAGCATGGTGCTGGATGTGGGAGGCCCACCTGAGGAGTGCTGCCAGCAGCATAAAGGCAGAACAGGAAGAGCTGCCAGGACGCTGTTAGGGATGCTATTTGGAGAAGGTGTTGGAGCAGTTGGAAGCTGCTAATTCTCTTTGAGCTGTTCTGCTGGAGGACCTTATCATGCCAGCTTTCCTGATGAATTTTGGAGGATCTTTGGTCTTCATCTTATCACTTCCTGGCTCCGGAGGAGAAGATAGTGCTCAGCCTCATGGAGAAGCTTGTCACATTGGCTTTCCTGATGGGAACACTGCTTTCCTCATCGCCGGAGGAGCTTGGGACCTCCCTGTTGCTGAGGATGGTTGTAGGGAGCTCTGGTGCTAGCCATGAGCTTTGCTTCCTGACTCCAGTTCAGATCCCTCAGCCTGCTAGCATAGATCCTTCATCCCACTGGCATAGACATTCTAGCTTCTACCACTGACCTTTGGGCCTTTCCAGCACAGATATGTGAAGTACGGTCCAGGCTGTCAGCTGGAGTCTTTAGTGTTCATGTGTGTGGAGAGATTTCCTGCACTTCTTGTATGTTTATCTTGGGTGATTCATTGTGAAATACTATTAAAAATGTGTCCTGTATTATATTGTTCCCTTTAAGAATCCCAAACCACACTTGCTCTCTAAACATCTCTAATATATTCAAATTCTCTTTTAAGCTTATCTTTTTTTTTAGCTACATAGCAGTTATCTGCAACTTCCAAAATTATACATGCTGTAAAAGAGTATTTGTAATTCAAAAAACAATGTCTCTGATTATTTAAGTTTTTTTTTTATTTAAGATTTTAACAGTAGCTTACTTAGTGGGTATATTTGACCTAAACTGAACATTTCTTAGGCAAATGTGACCAACAATGATGTGAAGCTATTTATATCCATTTATATACATGTATTGTAAATATCTACATATTTTACTGGAGAAATACTGATATTAGGTTATAGAATCCTCCTCCACACACTGTTGAGGGTTTTATGCAATGTAGCAATTCACCTCTTTAAATCCAAATGTAGCATTTACCTCTTTAAATCCAAAATATTCTGAATTTTGTGCTCTTACTATGTAGCCTAGAGTGGCATTGAATTTGCTGTTATCTTCCTACCTCTGTGTGCTGAGTGCTGGGATTATAGCCTTTTATTTTTAATATTTATGATTTGTATTTGTTTGTGTTGCAGCGCCGGTGATCAAATCCAGGACTCTGCACATCCAAAGCAAATAGTCTACTACATAAAATACAGGCAACAAGATATGGTGGTGTATCCCTGTAATCCCACTGCTCCAGAGGCTGAGACATGAGAGTTGCTGCCAGTTCTAGGCCAATTGGGGCCGTGTATTAAGGTCAAGGTCAAGCTAGACTCCTATAAGAGGCTGTCTCAAAAGCAAAACAAAACACTATGCTACATGCCTACTCTGTATTATGAATTTTGAAACACATTTATTCCCAAGTGTTTCAGATAAGATATTGTGAACTGTAAGAAAAATACAGTAGCTAACATTTGTTGAGTGTTCATTATCATGAAAGGATTTTGCTATATTATTAGGTTTGTATAAAGATCGTTTGATAAAGATCATGAATCATTCCCTCCCTCCCAACAGCCACACTACAAGGTGTGGAATCTGTGAATGTGTCACCTTATGTAGCAGAAGGGACTTTACTGCAGTGATTATTTCATGGTGAGATTACCCTGTATGATTGGTGGATCCAGTGAAGTCACCAGGATCCTTCCAAGAGACATGTAGGAGAGTTAGATTTACACTATGAGGCACAGCAAAGGAGGATCATGAGCCTTGGAATAAGGTAGCTTGGAAAAGCTATAATAGGTGAAGCAATAGATTCCCTCCTAGAGACTCCAAAAGGAATGTTGCCTGCTGACACATTTCATACTTCTGACCTCCAGAACTGCAAGCTAATACATTTGAGTTGTTTTAGTTTGTATAAGCTACTAAATTTTGGATAAAAACACAGATGCTCTTGGAAGCCCTGCAGATAATGAAGTGACAGTGGCTGTCCAAAGATCCATGGGTGGTCTGAGCAACAGCTTTGACAATAGGAATGGATCATATATCAACTATTGTTAATCATCTATCCTTGGTTTGAAAATCTGTAGCATGTGTGTTGTTGCGTGTTGCCCTGTTTCGGAATTTCATTCTTGATTTTGTTTTTACTTTTTAAAATAAAATTAAAAAAAAAAGGTTTGCAAAGCAGTAGTTTAGCATAGTGATTAAACAGATGGACTTTGGTGGAATAGCCTTTTTAGTTTTGTAACTTGGTGCAAATTTCTTTATTTTTAGCTTTGAGGATTGAATACAGATTGAGTTGCAGACAATGGAGGGAGACACTGAAAGTTTTGAGAACAAATGTTGGAAGTGATCCCGTGCTTAGTTTTGTGTGTGTGTGTTTTTTGGTGGGGGTTATGGGTGGGGGATGGGTGGGGGTGAGAATCTAAACTCAGGACTTATGCTTGCCAGGCAGGTACCATGCCCCTGAGCTAAATCCCCCCTCCAAAGTTTTAATAACCTGTTTTGAGTTTCCAATGGGAA